TGGGCAGAGCGCTTCTTCCCAGCCAATGTCGCCCACTCCGTCTACATCCTGGAGGACTCTATCGTGGACCCCAAGAACCGAACCATGACCACGTTCACCTGGAACATCAACCACGCACGTCTCATGGTAGGTGACCAGCGGCGGGGGGGGGAGCCGGGGGGCGGGCGCCGGGGCTATAGCCAGTCATGTCTCATGCAGGTGGTGGAGGAGCGCTGTGTGTACCAGGTGAACCCTGAGAACAGCAACTGGACCGAGGTCAAGCGAGAAGCCTGGGTCTCCTCCAGCCTTTTTGGTGTCTCGCGGGCCATCCAGGTGAGTGCTGCTGACTGCTCGTGCAGCACTGGGTACTCCCCTCTTTGGAGAGATCTTAAAGCTGCTGTTACCCCACTCTACCCCTTCCTTGTGCTGTTTTTTCCACCATTTCCCTTCTTTTCCCCCACCCTCATGAGCTCCTGAGGCATCCAGAACCATCACTGCAGGTGGGCATGAGCCCACCAGATGTTTAGGACTGGTCAAGCTGGGAGAAAGCCCCAGGGCTGTGTGTGACCAGGGAGCTGGGCCTGCAGTTCATTGACCTTTCTCTTGCAGGAGTTTGGTCTGGCCAGGTTCAAAAGCAACGTGACCAAGAGCACTAAGGGATTTGAATATGTGCTAGCAAGAATGCAAGGTGAGCACCCAACGGCAGGCTGGGGCTGACCGGGATGAGCCTCTTGGTGTTACAGGTCACACTGGGAACACTCCAGTCCAAGGGCAGGTTGTGGCCTGAACTGATCTGATGGTGAAATCCCTGTCCCTTGCCTTTGCCCCCAAGTCTTGGCACAGCCTGCTCTGAGCAGAACAGTACTCACAGGGCTGGGCAGGGGTGGAACACAGGCAGGAGGGGACGTAGCATGGCAACAGTCACGTGGCTGCAGTTCCCCTTCGCAACATGCCCTGACGCATGCAGGTCAGGAGCACTGGGCTCATCTTCCCTCCCTGCATGGGGAAGTCACGGAGGTGTCGGGGCTGGTCTAGCTTGCATCAGCGAGGGCAGGAGCTGCTGAGGCTGGGTTAACGACCTCCCATGTTATAGGAGAAGCTCCAGCCAATAAAACACTGGTGGAGACAGCCAAGGAAGCGACTGAGAAAGCCAAGGAGACGGCTCTGGCTGCTACAGAGAAAGCCAAGGACCTGGCGAGCAAGGCAGCCACCAAGAAGAAGCAGTATGTGTGAGGGGCCAGGCGCAGGCTGCACCAGAACAGATAGGAGCCTCCTTAGGTTTTGTACTTTTAAACAAACTGTACCAGTCTGACAATCAGCTGCTGTTGGAACCTTTCCAAGATGTAATTATCATTAAAGAATCAACTCCCACCTCTGGTTTGGCGGGGGCTGGCCTAGCTAGAGCAGAGCCCAGTGTTCCCTCCACTCTGGGGGTCCAGCTGCCAGGCTTGCAGGCAAGACACAGGCAAGGGTTTCACCAAGTGCCTTTACTACAGTAGTGTGGGGTATGTACAAGAGAGGAGGGTGGTTGCGGGAGCATGAAGGCAGGTCGCTTAATGCATTTGTTTCCCCCTCCTGGCTCTCCAGGGATGACAGAGCCCACCCATAGCAGTGTCTGCTGGGGACAGGGCTGTTCCACACCCCTGCTAGGCAGCCCCCAGCCCTCATGGTGGGGGGTGAGAGGGTGTCCCCGGCACAGCCAGGCCCTCTTCCAGCC